TGCTGCTGCTGGTGCTTCTGCAGCTGGTGCTGCTGCTGCTGCTGCTGCTGCTGGTTTTTCTGCTGCTGGTGCAAGTGCGGGCGGTTCCACCGTTGCTGCTGCGAGTGGTGGTTCTGCTGCTGCTGCTGCTGGTGCGGCCGGCGCTGCTGCTGCTGCTGCTGCTGCTCCTGCTGGAGACGGCGGTGGCAGCGGCAGCAGCAGAACGCCTCTAAGCGTTTGGTGTACATGCAGCAGAAGGCCGCAGCCCAGTGCAGAGGAAGTGGTGGTGTCTGCAAGCAGCAAAAAACCCTAAACCCTAAACCCTAAACCCTAAACACTAGGTCGCGAACAACGGTTGGGATTAGGGTTTAGGATAAGGGTTTTGTTTTAGGGTTTAGGGTTTAAAGCTGCCGTTGAGGGGCTAGAGCTTCGGGTCTGCATCTAGGGTTTAGATATAAATATCTTTATGAGTTTAGGGTTTAGGGTTTAGGGTTTAGGGTTTAGGCTTGCCGGCGCTGTGTTTAGAGTTCGTTGCTTCTGTTATAAGACACTGCAGCAGCAGCAGCACGCGGCTTCTAAGCAAACCCAGCAGCACCTTCAGGCGTCCTCCACCTGCTGCTGCAGCTGATGCATCTTCAGGTTGCTCCTGCTGCTGCTGTTGCTGTTGCTGCTGCTGTTCATCAGCAGCAGCAACGGAGAAAGACTCCAAAGACTGCGCGTGGGCTTCAGGGCCCCAGAGGTCATCAAACAGCATGTATTGCTGCTGTTGTTGTTGCTGCTGCTGCTGTTGCTGCTGCTGTTGCTGTTGCTGTTGCTGTTGCTGCTGCTGCTGCAATTGAAGCTGTTGCTGATGCGGGGGCTGCGGCTGCCGACAGTGGCGTGGTTGTGTGTCCTGTACCTGCTGTTGCTGCTGTTGCTGCTGCTGCTGCTGCTGTTGCTGCTGGTTTTGAATAAGAGCCTGAGGAAAGCCTCCAGCTATTGCCCACCGCCACAGAGTTGCTGCAAGTCTCCCGACCCTGCGTGCAGCTCGCGAGGCACCCCAAGGTGCTGCTGCTGCTGCTGTTGCTGTTGTTGCTGCTGTTGTTGCTGCTGCTGTTGCAGCTCCGCTCAGTAGCCTCGGTGTCTGCAGCAGCTCTTGGCTGCGCTGCTCTGCTGCAGCAGCAGCAGCTGCTGCGCCGCTGCACAGCAGCAGCAGCAAAGCAGCCTGCAGCAGCAAACAGCCATCAGCAAAGCCGCTGATGACTAGCAGCGAGACACCCCGAGCATCTCCTGCTGCAGTAGCGAGCAGCAGCAGCTGCAGCCGCAGCAGCAGCAACTCCGCCTCCGCAGCAGAAAGCAAACGCGGAAATCCCTCCTGCTGCTGCTGCTGCTGTTGTTGTTGTTGCTGCAGGTGCTGCTGCAGGTGCTGCTGATCCCACCAAAAGGGGAAGCAGCAGGGCTGTAACGCCCGTGCATGGATGTGGCTTTCGGTGCTGCTGCTGCTGCTGCTGCTGCTGCTGCTGCTACTGCTGCTGCTGCCACTGATGCTGCTGCTGCTGCTGCTGCTGGCACAGGATGGCAGCAACGCCTTGAAGTAGAGGAGGTGCAGCAGCACTAAATATCTTCGCTGCTGCAGGCTCGCACGGGCGCAGCGCAGCAGCGCCCGCAGCTGCAAGCAGCACCGCCAGACGGAGCTCAAACCCTAAACCCCAAACCCTAAACCCTAAACCCTAAACCCTAAACCCTAACATAATTCAACTCGCGTTCGCTGCAGAGTAGACTGCGGTGTAAGACATCCTATCAAGAATGCAGTGATTAGGGCTTAGGAATTAGGGTTTAGGGTTTAGGGTTTAGGAAACCCTAAACCCTAAACCCTAAACCCTAACATAATTCAACTCGCGTTCGCTGCAGAGTAGACTGCGGTGTAAGACATCCTATCAAGAATGCAGTGATTAGGGCTTAGGAATTAGGGTTTAGGGTTTAGGGTTTAGGGTTTAGGCTTGAATACCTCTGAGGCCCTGTAACCTTGCGAGAGCATGTGGGGCCCGTTGCCGTTTTGCTGCAGCCACGTCGGCACCCAGGGGTATCTGCTGCTGTTGCTTCTGCTGTTGCTGTTGCTGTTGCTGCTGCTGCTGAGCGTGTACATACAGCTGCAGCAGAACTGCAGCAGCTGATGCAACAAGTCTGTGCTGCTGTTTTGATAAACAGCAGCAAGCAGCGGGAAATATCCTCGAGTATCTGCACGGAGCAGCACCTGTCGGCGTACTGCTGCTGAACTGCAGCAGCAGCAGCAGCAGTCGCAGAGCTGCCTGTAGCGCTGCGTCTTCTGCTGGTGTTGTTCCGTCTGCTGCTCCGCTTGCGGCTGTTTCTGCTGCTGCTGCTGCTGCTGCAGCTGAACCCTTGTAGCAGCAAAGCAGCGCAGCAACCAACTAACAAGGTCTGGGCGGCTGTTCGCAGCAACAGGAGTATAGAACCCCGGCAAGCGGCACTGCAGCAGCAGCAGAAGCAGCAGAAGCAGCAGCAGCAGCAACGGATGAAGCAG